AGGCGGATGCTCTATTTTTTTTCACAAAATTATCATAACTGCGGTTTTTAAATGATCCTTTGTTAATTTTCTCAGTCTGATTGACAGAAAATTTCGGTTTTATTGTTTTCCTCACATCTTCAAAATCTTCAATTTTCTTAACCATTTCAGTAGGTGAAATGATGGTTTTCCATTGATCCATAAAATGTTCTTTGAAATCAGGAGAGGTACGTTTTTTTATTTGATCAACCAGCATGAGATCTTTTAGCTGTTCAAAAGTTTTAATGTTTAATCCGTTAAGCCATCCTTCTAAATAATTCTTTAATTCATAGTAGAAATCATACCAAGTACTTTCAGTAGATTTTTGGTGTTTATTAAATAGTTGTCGAAATTTTTCCGCACTTAATTTAAATCGTTGTAACAGTATCTTCCCTTTCGCGTTATTCTCTTCTTTCTCTTTCTTCTCTTTCGCGTTCTTTTTCTCTTTCTTCTCTTTCGCGTTCTTTTTCTCTTCCTTCTCTTTCACATTCTTCCTTTCTTTCCCTTTCTTCTCTAATTGCAGCCAGTAGTTCTCGAGTAAACTCCTCATCATAACGGGGACTTTCAGTAATCAGTTTATGCAACTGAGCAATCTTAAATTCAGGTTTCACGGTTAAACCTAACTCTTCTGCTAGTACTTTTAAATCCTGTTTTTTACTCCTAGCTAAGAATGACATGTTGACACAAGTTACCTTTATTAGGCTTCCTTTTGAAATTGAATCTAAAAGATCGTACTTGTACTAAAAATGTATAATTTCTGGCGAGACTTAATTTCTCAAATACGAAATTCACACCAACCAATTGGAGAGAATTATTTAAACAACTTTGCCAGGTTGGCCCAAAATACTATAATACTACGTCGGGTTGATGTTTTAACTCACTATTCACAAGCCTCGTTAGCTATAACTATATAAACACCTTTGCCAGTTAGGCAATACAATGGAATTTTACCCACGTCAGTTTGACGACTTTACTATCTATCTCCAGCCTGGTTGCCGATAACAAAAACAATTTTTGCCAGTTTGGCAATACAACTTTTAGAATATACAATCTGTAATACGTCAGGATGACGTTACTATCTATCACACGCCTGGATGGCGAGAACTAAGAAAAAAAATCTTTGCCAATTCAGCAGTATAATCAACTCACACTACATCAGTTTGACGTTATTACTTATTTTCACGCGCCTGCTTGGCAACAAATTCAAAAACTCAGCTGGCAGTTCCTTTTTTTTATAAATGCCGGGATGGCTTACACATATCATTTATCAACATAAAAATTCAATACAAACAAAAGTAAAGCATAAATAATAATTTTAAAATACTTCTTTACCACAAATATCAATTATAAATTTAAGCTGAATATTTTTAGTGTCAGTTATTTTAAACAAAATCTTACACTATAAACTATAATTCTGAAATAAAGTATTAAAATTTAATAAAAGCTTTTTTAAGAAAACCAAAAGTTAATCTTATCTTCAGAGATCAGCAGTATCCTGTTTTGACAGATTTTTGCTCGGACGCAAGTTATAGAAGCACAGAAGATAACCTTTGAATGATCTGCTTCAAATCTGGCTTTAAAACGGCAGACTTCTTACATCCATTTCTCCTTGAAATAAGCAAACTTGTTCTAAAAAATTCAGCAAATTTCTGGGATTCGGAGACCAGCACCATCAAAATTGATAATTGCACTCCTAACTTTCAGGATCTCGGTGGAAGAACCTCCAATTTATTAAGACTGTAATGTATTTTGCAGTAATTTACAAAACAGACAATCTTCTTAGTAGAACATAAATTTTATTTCTAGTTCTCGGTGATAGACAAATTTTATACAATTCTTAAGTGGCAAAATTTCATACTACTCCTAGCTGTTAAAATCTTCAGAATACAAAATCTTTTTAAAACAATATCTCTCGTTGCTGAGTAACGGTTTGATACAAATATGGCATTGCCACTTCAACAATAATTATATTTATTTATTAAATAACAAGATATTACAATACCTATTATGGTGATACAGGGACCAGACCAAAATGTCACTAAATGTTGGCAACAAAAATTAATCGCTAAAACCATTGCCAACTAGGTGATATCTCACCAAATTAGTGAGATAGCCATTTACTCATTGTTAAACAGATTTATCTCTGTATTCATATTTTCCTGACACAGCATCCTCCTTCTCGATTTTCATGTTACATTATACAGAAAAATACAACAATTTCACATAAAGTTTCATTAAAATTACAGATATATATACAAACTTCATAGCAACACTAACCTATCCTAATGTTCAACACTATCAAATAAAATTTATTCTTGCAATCTTTTTACATTTTGTACAACTAAATATAGTCCCCAAAATGTTTTTAGTACAGCCCATATAAAAATTAAGAAAGGAAATAAATTTGAATACCCCACATGTGAAAATGTTCTACTTTAAAACTGCATTTCTATAGCAGAAGGTTGCTATACATTTTATGCTCTTTTAAGAGTCACAAATAAATACAAGTGTCTTGTATAATCGACTGCAGGGGAGAAAGATAATAAGCTTTTATGCATCATTAAATGATAATTATGGAATTAGATCTATTATTACTATTATTATGAAAAATACCAGAATAAAAGTATCATATGCTTAAATTATGCTTTTTTTTTTTTTTTTTTTTTCAAATTTCTCTTAAATATGGTTTAACACTTAACATGTACAGAACCACACCAAATATGTTTTAGTAGGAATATTAACACCATCAATAAATTTACCTTAAATTTAAAATTTAATATTTTTTAAATTTTTTCTATGTAAAGAGTTTAACTTTTTTTTTTTTTTTTTTTTTCTATGTAAAGAGTTTAACATTTTTTTTTTTAAAATACCTAATTTTACCTTGCAGAAGTCCACAGTTCTTCTGACTATCACTAGAGAAATACTGACATAAACTACCAATTTTTAAAGAAAATACTTATTTGAAAAAACAATTTAAATTTTAAATAAAGTCATTAATATTTTGTATCTTTCTATTATCATGGTACTATTTGACAAATGTTTATATTACATCTTGAACAGCTAAACAATAATGCCATTGCAAATAGGTAGAAAGAATAAACATGTACAGGTTAAGTTTCTAACGGTTATTTTAAGTTTAAACATGCTTTACTGTCTATTCTAATTTCCATCTACTATTTCCTACCAGGATTAGTTTTTACTATAGCGTTTTATGCAAATGAGTTAGAAGGTGTATTGAAAGGAAGCTCATCTTACTTCAAGAGAGAGCGTTTAGTCCATAGTGGTGTGTGTTTGCCTTCTGGCTACTTCATTCTTAAAACTATTACACTTTTTCGCATTGTATGTGCCTGTTGATAATCGCTGGCTAGGTTAAATTAAGGGCCAACTACATTAGGTATTGAAGGGGGCATCTGTTATTATTTCTTTGAGTGAATAAAAGGGTCTTTTAACCCTTCTCAAGAATCTGTCATAAATACTTTAAATTAGTGATAATTCACTACATACTTTACTAGATTCCTCTACATTTATCATAGGCAAAGTAATGAGGAACATTATAAACATCAATCCAGGAATTTTCTCTCCTAGATTTTAGTTGCTTAAGTGAATGAATCGGCAGCTGGTGAATATGCATACCAATAAGCTAGCAACAAATACAGTAAAAGCCCAACAATGTGGCATTCAGCTAACCAGAAACCTCTGAGCACCGATAATGGAAGCATGACATCACAGCACAATCATAAAAAGTTTGTTTTGGTTTAATGTAAATTCAAATAACTCCTGATTACACAGTTTAAATTTTGTAAAGAAAGACACAAGTTTTGTGGTTTCTTGGATTCTGGAAAAAAAAAAAAAAAAAAAAAGTGGTTTTTAGACTGCATTAAATGTGAGTATTTTGAAAGTTACAGCATTCAGGCATCAAAAAAAGAAACAGTGCACAACTTTGAAAACAGATAAATAAGGGCAATATAAAGTGGAAATTTAGCATTTCAAGAATTTTTATATGCTGTGTCTATAATTTGTATCGCTTCATTATCAAACTAAATACAGAACAATCTGTTCTTATAAACTTCTGCCAGAATGATTGGCAATATTTCCGCAACCTTTCATGTTTGGCAAGACTTCGTAATCAGATCAGAAGTTTTACTGTAATGTTTAAGAATACTTGTCAGCTTTTATGACTTAAATGGATTTTTTTCTGCAAAAAAAATCTTATATAATTTCAAATGTAGGCTTTTGATTTTCAAATTTGTAACAAATAAACTGATTATTTTTATAATTTTAGAGCAGAATTTTTTCTTACTGATTTGCATTTTCTAATATAAATTCCATTTTTTACAAGCTCAACCATCTGGAATTTTTATGTACATGGAATTCAGCATTTCCTGAGCTTTCTGGATAGTTGAGCTTTTACCATACAGCATCATTGATCCGGATACAAGATACGACGTACAAAATAATGAAATAAATATCAGTATGGCGTTGGTTGCCATCGCCTAGATTCCTATCTATAGTGGAGATTGCATGAAAATACATTAATGTTTTTAATAATGTTCAGTGAAGTTAGAAATTGTATACCTCCTATGTCACCGTAAGAAAATAATCTGGTAAAATTTATTTTTTATTCATCTTCATTTTCTGCATTTATTGTGGATTTAATAAAATTCTTTTCATGGAGCTTTATATATTATTAGGCTTGCCACCATCTAGTCATATTTTGTGCCAAAGTTTATGTTTTGTGCTAAGTGGTGGTCCATTAAAGGAAAGGTACCAAAAAAGTTTTTTGAAAAATAATCATGGTTTTCACAAGTTTTGATCTATTTTTAGCTGATTCATAAATATGAATAGATTATTATTATACAGTTACTTATTATATCAATGAAAAGCAAACAAAGAATAAACAATATGATAATAATAAATATGAAAAAATAAAGCTAAACTCAAAAACAATAAATGTCCAATGTGAATTACTTAGAACTACTTACCTTTCTTATATCTTTCAATGGTCGTTTCTGCACAATGCCTTTTACCTGAACTACAGATTCTAGAGGTAAGGATTGTAAAAATTTTTTATTTGAGTTATCCTGAAATAAAACCAGAACATGAAAAATGAGAAATATACAACAAGTTTTATACCTTTATATTTTATAACTGAAAAAGCACTTACATTCTCTTTAAATATAACTTGTGTAAGACCATATGCGTCTCGAAGTATTATAAATTTGTCTAATCTTTGATATGAAGTCCAACCACAAATAATTACTTCTTGTCCAACATGAGAAGCATTTAACTCTCCACACGTATGTGTACGCCATGTGAAACTATTTAATCCTTTAAAAACACAAATAATATACAGATGAAATAAAATCTTAATCATTGTATATAAAAATAAAACTTGATACATATTTTTACATAATAAATAATTTTGAAAGTTTTTTTTAATGTGTGCCAGCCTTTGCGAATGACTTCATGACATTTTCTTTATCTACAAACAAAAGTATTTTGAAAATACTTTTATATAAAATTTAATATTATTAGAAAATCCATAATACAGATACCTTCTCTTCCCACAAAAAAGAGCAAAGAAGTTTAAAAGAAACATAAATTTATAAGTAAAATTAAAAATGGTATAAGTAGTTATTAAAAATATAATAGCTTATTTTAATGTTTCCGTTCCAATAAACCCCATGCAAAAATTTAGAAAGATATTATAATTAAAAATTAATACTGTTAAACATTAGATCATAAGATATTTAATTAAGCTACATGAAATTTAATCACCTAGTTATGATTCTCTGTGTTTCACTATGATTAACACTGCATTGACTATATCAATAGGGAAAACTCTTACAAAAATAGACATACAATTTATGTTATGGTAGAATATTCTAAGAGGACACCCTACAATGCAAAAAATATCACCTTAAACAGTGAACTAAAGAATGCTACAGTACAATGCCTGAAATGATCCAAGATCTGGACCAATAAATAAATAAAATAAAATTTTAAAAAAAATTTGAACACTTTCAGATTTTATATTACACCCAAAGGTGTGTTTTTTCACTTACATACACATTTTGAGAGCATCTAGGCTGATGTTCTTTTTGGCTAGAAATATTTAAAACCAGCCTATCTTTAGAATTTTTTATACACAGTCTCGTGCGCTGGAGATAGAGTTTATAGATAGAGCTGGAGATAGATTTTTTTTTTTTTTTTTTGTGCAGTGTTGCCATTTCTCACTTTGAAATCATTTTGTTAATCAAATATTTGTTAAAATTTTACAAAATATGAAATATACAATAAAGCAAATTCAAAATTTGAGCTTCCAGGTGCCCATGTTCGGGTGCAATTTGATGGCTATAGATACTGTTGTTTTTTCACAATGAAAAAAACATGACAATTCTTCATTATTTAATTGCTTTAAATATAATACCGAGAGAGAATATTTGGTGGCAACAACTTGAAATGTCATTCAGACTTCTATAATGATTCAACACAATAACCCGTTTGGAGACTAATAGCCCTTCTCAGATAATGCTACTTTGGGCTAATAAATATCTCCTATACAAAACTGGTACTTACATGTTATCACAACCACCTTAGTAAAAGCCAGTAAATTTTCAGAATGTACAAAATTCTGGAAATTATGTTTATAACAATTCTTCATTCAAGTGATGTCACCATGTTCATACGCAGTGGGTTTTTTTTTTCTTTTTTTTTAATTGTAGTCTTTTTTGCTTTAAACACAATTTTAAAATATGCACTTGTGCAATTTGCCAATGATGAAACTGCAATGAAATTTCTGCAGGAACACAGAATTTTGCCACAAAATCTCTAGCGGGCACAATGAGGAGTTGGGTTTGGTAAATAACTGCTATTATCAAGGTTTGCACGATGCCGAGTCTGCTATACTCTGATGTTTCTTTAAGTAAAAGCAGATTGTTGTGATGTGAGAAGAATAGTGAAAAAAATTACAGAAAGATTTGGAGAAGAATGTAAATGTTTTATTTTTTTAAATTATATAACTTATGTAAGAATATTCTTATTTAACAATCATTCATGTGTTCTTATTTAATAATTAAAAAATAACCCTTATTTAATTCAAATTTATATTTCAAATTCCTAAGTATGTTTCATTTTCACATGTGCGTAATGTCTGCCGACATGATAAATATTGATAGTTTGAGAATCGTAAAAAAAGTCACGAAAGCCACCAACTTGCACCTGATAAGTCATTTTTATTTTTTCATATGTAAAAAATTGTCAGATTGCACCAAGATGGTTGGATTAATACGTAAGTAACACAAAATCTAGAGATGAAGAATATAATAGTCAACAAACAGATGTGCTGTAAATGCTTTTTTTCTATGTCCCAACTGAGATTCCCACATGGTAGTTTCAAACACCTGCTGGCTATTGAGTTGCACAGTTAATGACAATTCATTCAGTAATGTATTGAATGTTAGTTTAAAATAAGACACTGAACAACAATTATTTTAGAAATCGAAAACAAAAATCAGTTTTATTTTCTAATTTTTCAGTACAACTGGTAGTCCAGTTAATTTTCCAGCTGGAAAATTTGCTGATTTTTCTTGTTTGATTTCTAAAATAATGTACTGATGTCAGCAAGGATCACACTTCTGGCACTTGAGTGGTTGTGTGTGTGGAACGGGAAGGCGGCAGTATAATGCGATGCATTTTTTTGCCCGAGTTATCTCTATAGTTGCTAAATTCAACTTCCCAGTACCTGTCTTCCAGTACCAACTTCCCAGTCTAAAAATTTTGCCACCTGTAAATTCTGCTACCTAATATTTATCCTAAATTTAAATAATTTTATCGTCTCCAATTTTTGCTGCTTAATACTAATAAATCCTAAGATTTTTGCCATGAAATATGGTCCTGCCAGTTCTTTTGAAGGGTTAGCTTTCATCTGTTTCATATAAATAATAAGCAAAGCTCTAGTGCTGCCATTTCTACGTGTCATCTTACTAAATTTATACTGGTGATAAAAAATTTGGAAGCTTTTGAAATCGCAGAAATACAGGCTGAATCTCAGATTTTGTACTATAATAATAAATAATTACACACCTTCCTAACAATTCCCAAGCTTTTCATAAATATTGAAAATTCCCAATTTTGAGAAATATCTAGACTAATGCACTATAATAATATAATTATGAATGTTTTAATATAATTGTGAAATATGCTAGATTACTTCATAATAGCAGCGGATTTTAAATTTTTTCAGACTTTTAATCTATTTAAGAAGCAAAAGAAGGCACTACAAAGGCATTCAAGACTACCAGCTTCAAATGTTAGCTGGAGACACATCAATTAATATAATAACTACAAGACCATGAGACTTCCATGGACAAATACTAGTGATTTGCATATAAAAGCTTGTTGAAGTATCATATTTCAAGCCATACATGAAATGTCTTTTCTCCATTTACAATTTTAGCAGGCAGCTGCTGAAATCTGTTTTGAGTTTTCTCCAAAATCGGATTTACTGATGCTATTGATATACACTGACGAGCCAAAATAGTATAACCATCCCACATTTTTTAATGAACTTGTTTGGATAACGTGCAGGGCATGTGATTAAGTGGAAATGGTATTTAAGTGCTGCTTGAGAAGGTAAGGAATCATTCTTGCACTTACTTTTGTGAGTAATGGGAAAGGCTGCAGATCTAAGTGAATTGGACAGAGAGCAGATTGTAATGATGCAAAGACTCAGAATGAGTATCTCTGAAACTACAAGTCTGGTAGGTGATTAGTATTTATGCAAAGTAAATAAATGACGGTAAAGTCAATACGGTAAGTCAAGTAGTAGTTCAATGTAGGTCCAAGAGCAAGTGTTTTGGAATACACAGTTCAGCAGACATTGTTGGATATGGGGCTGCACATCAGACATCTCACCCATGTGCCTCTGTTGACCAAGCGCCTACAGCGGACTACGCCAACTATGACTACAGTGGACACGGGAACATCGAGACTGGACTTTGGATAAGTGGAAGACAGTTGCCTGGTTAGATGAATCATAATTTCTCACTCATCACATTGATGGTTGTGTCAGGGTATGCCATCTTTCAGGTGAACAGTTGCTGCCCCCCTCTGTAAAGCAGGTCATGCACAGGCTGATGGTGGCAGTATTATGCTTTAGGGGATGTTCTCATAGACTTCTCTGGAACTCTTAGTTATGGTAGAGCAGACTATGAAAGCTGTACATTATCTGAACACAACTGCATATCAGTTGCACCCTCACATGGCCTCCGTCTTCCTAAATGAAAATGGAATCGTCCAGCAGGACAATGCTTTATGTCACAAGGCTCGAATTGTGTTGGAGTGGTTCGAGGAACATAAGGATGAATTCCAATTAATGTCATGATGACCTAACTTGCCGGATCTTAACACAATAGAGCAAATTTCAGATATAATGGAGCAACAGCTCACAGTTCAAACACCACTATGTCGGAATATCTCGACTTTGCATGACTGCAGCTCATACATTTGGTACAAGCAGTCTCCAGTTATCCTATCAAGAACTTTCACTTTTTTTAGGTCTTTGTGTAAAACGGGTTCTAAATTTCTTACTTTTTGTCTATACTGATCAATTTTCAGCAGCATTTTGTGCAAAAGTTCCAAAATCACATTTATTGTCACTGAAAAGACTACATTAAACATGCTGAAACAATCAGCAGCACAGCTTTTAGGCTATAGTGGTGAAGACAGCTTCACTGCAAAGCACTAAAGTACAGCTCCTGACTTGGTTTGGTCATTCTTGGAGTTCAAGACACTACTACTGAACTCAACGTACTCTAGATACTCTTACGATACACTGCTACTCCAAATACAGGCAGGGCCTATATAGCTTTTGGCCTGCCTTCGAGAACATTCTAAGGCAAACCAGTACAAATTCAGTCTAGAATGTTTTCCATCTGTCTATGGCATATCACCAATTTTGCTGCCAAATGGGCAGTTTTTCAAAAAATCTGGCAACCCTGCCATTTTCTAGCAACCCTAAACCTGCTTTACTAGGAAGCTATTTTACTGCACCTGGTCATTTTGTAACAATATTGTGTACATTCATGAAATGCTGGTAAATGTACTTAATATCATTTGATAGATGGTTGGTGCACATCAAAGGAAATGCTGCTGAAATTCAAGAAATAGGCATTTTTTTTAAATCTCCACAACCTTTAAATAGATCTTAACAGTATTAAGAAAATTTTTATCATGCATGTGAAGACAAAAGGCAGTATTTTGAGTTTATCTTGGTGAATATGTTTGACAGAATAATCCTGAATAATAATTTAGAAATGTTACGGATTCATGCCTGATGTTAATCATGATGATGGCGCTGAGATGCGCATCTCACTACTCTAATTGCAATCAAACACAGCTATCATAATGATTCAATACACTTTATTTCTTGATAAAACAATTCTTGAAAAATACATTCACATTATGATCGCACATCACAATAGTTGCAGTCTGCACCCACTTTTTCATCACATTTTGTAGTATTTTATATTATGACTAAGGAAATAGAGAAGCAAGCGGTAACATGTTAGATGAATATGAAGCAAATCAGAAAAGTCCGAAATATTCAAAAGAAAACCCGAGAGAAGAGTAAAAAGGTTATAGTTCTCTGAATAAATTTTGGTTGTTTTTCACAATTAGCTAAAGCATTTATGTAAATACCTACATCAGTAGCACTATGTAAAGTACAGTACAAATAATTTAATCCGGACTCGTTGGGACTTCGGCGATTCCGGATTATAGATCATCATTTTAAATCTGGTAAGATGGCATGCAGAAATCATAAAATTAAAAATATGAAACCATAAGTTATGGAATAAAGAGCATATGATCTACGGGTATCAAAATTACAAAAAAAAAAAAAAGCTTAATATTTATTCTTTACTATTAAACTTTCTTTCATGTAAGTTGTTTAAGTTGCTTTGTTTTTGTGCTAATACTTTCTCTTAATTCTAGATACAGACATAAGTTCTATTCAGTGCACTGTCAAGTCCTGTAATTCGTGCGATAATATAAGAAATAAAACCATAATTTATGAAATAAAGAGCAATTATGATCACTGGGTATCAAAATTTACAAAAAAAAGCTAATTTATTTGTTACTTATAACATTTTTTCAATTAGTTGTTTAAGTTGCTTGTTTTTGTGCTAATACTTTCTCTTTAATTCTATTACGACTAATTCTATTCAGTTCCACGTTCAGTCCGTAATTACTGTTGAGAATACGACTAATTTGTCACTGAATTTTTTTGTTTTCAATAACTCTCTGTCACTTTCTCATATCAGAAGTGGTACATTGAAACATGCTTTCGCTTGTATTCCTTCAGCTTCATAATCGGCTCTTTTGACATAATCGAAATGCAAAACTACTTTTTATAAATGCTTTACCAGTCTGAAAAATAATAGCCGGATCCAATTGAGATTAAGAAAAAACGCATCGCAACATTACTGCAATAGAGAATTAATAATTTTAGCCTAGTTATATGTCCATTATACATTAAACGTGCATGCGTGTACGTATTATGCACATGCGTAAACGCATATGTGCATGCGCAGAAAGTTTGTAGCTTTGAGGTCCAGATTATGAACGTCCGAATTAAGGACTTAATTAAAGTATTGTATAGTATTAAAAGTAAAGTATTAAGACTCCGAATTAAAGTACTGTATAGGATTAATTTCAAAGTGATGAAGTTTCGAAAAATTTATTATAAGCAATTAGTAATTTTCAGACAGAAAGGAAAAACTGCCAAATTAAAATGTAGTGTTAAAGGACTACTAAAAATTAAAATTAGAAGTTTGCTTTATGAAATTTTTATGTTACACACAGATACCTACACACACACACACACACATATATATATTGTTAAACTGAAAGGCAAACCTTGTATTATCACAAAGTTGTTTCATTTATGGTAATGCATATGCGCGAAATGTAGAAGTTGAAAGTTCCACAAATATATTTTTACCTAGAATCGGGTGCTCCTTTGACATTTTAAGTGAAAATATATTGATGTGTACATGGACAAAGTCAAGGGAGTGCATAATGCCAAGTTTGTGCAAGTTTCTGAAGTTTTTTTAAGTGTTAATGGATTGACGCGTACTTGGATAAAGTTAAGAGAGTGCGCAATGCCTACTTCGCACAATTCTGTAATTTTTTTAAAGTGAAAATAGGTCACTGTATACATGGATACTAAGTTTGAACAAGTCAAAGAATTGTGTATCCATGTACCGCCAAAAAAAGCCAATTTTCGCCAAGGGTACCCTTAAATATATTTTTACCATATATATAGAGAGAGATATTGGATTAGGTTTTGAATTGCTTTTTACTTTATATTTTTTCATTTTCTTCTTTTGTTGCAGTAACCCTCTCATGACGATATAGTGAAAGGTATAAATTTCTTATTTCATTTTTGGTTTTGCTCCTTTTTCTTGAAGTTTGCCACTGTGCTTGTTTTTATTATTATTATTATTATTTTTCATGTTTATTCTGAAGTAGTGGTCTATATTTTAGGGTACCTCTTGGATTAACACCAAGTTGCTGCTTCATTTTTCGCCAAATTGCTGTTTCATTTATGGTAAGCTGAGTACTTGAATGGCTGAGTTTATAGTCTGTTGCTATTATACAATTTTTATGTCTGTAGAGTTTTTAATATCAAATAGTCCTATTTATACACTTTTTTAATATCAAATAGTTAGAAAATAAAAAAAAAAAAAAAAAAAAGACAGTGGTAATCGGTAAAGATAACCATCATAAAACTGTATTATTAAGAAATAAATTAAACTGTATTATTCAGAAATGAACTCTGGCATTTTGGTACTCGGTAAAATCCTAGTATACGGTGCAGCCTTGGCGAATTTGAAAATTATCGCTAACGCCAAAAATGACCCAAAACGTCTATGTATATACTATATACCTATATATTATCACTACTACATACATATACTATGTATAACTATATATATTCTTTGAATGACACGTTTACTACTCATCGTATATGTTTCGTTTTTACTGCTCATCATAAAGTTGCCAAAAGAAGCCAAATCCCGTATGCACCGGATACTAGGATTAAGCCCGGTAGGTACTCTTAGCAACACACCAAGAAACTAGTAGGCAAGTAGGCATATGATAATAATATATTTTCAATTAAAGCCTGCACTAATGAACTATCATGACGCTAATGCATTACACTCTGAATTTCTCTCATTCAAACTCAAAAGATTAATTTTGCTTTAGCAGTTTGCAGAAATATTTCAAAATACTTACGCGAACATAAATAACGTAACCCACTATATGATACATTTTTTAAAGAAGAATAAAATCTTTGAGCAAACATACTAAAAACAAAACTAGCGGGCATCGAAATTACAGTTACAGCTATAATTTTGAAATCAAACATAATTGCCATTGATGCCTTACAGAATTCTCTTTTCATCACACATGAAAAGAAATTGATTTCAGTTTCAACAAATTTTCATTTTTACAAACTATCATACGTAATATGCTTTTACTTACAACAACTGCAAAATCTTTTAATATGAAAATTTTTCATCCAACATATGTTTTTCATTTTGTTAGCAAGCAAAAAGATCGTTTGCGTTGATGATTTTATATTATGTTTATGTTTACATTTTCAAAGGGTAACTTATAGAAGTCAGGTCTGTTATTGCTAATCAGTTTTCGTAGTGAAGGTTTGAATTATATGTTTAGAGAAATTTATTGGTTTAGATTTGTATTTTAAGGTGGAAATGTTTAAAAGGAAAACTAATCTTCCTGCAAGACCATCTATTCCAACCAGAGAGGAAATGTTGACAGATTTGACTAACGCTGAACCCAATGATATTGTATTTATATCCAAAAATAAACACGAAGTTCTGCCGGCAGGTAAAATTTTTGTGTTTCATTTTCTTTGTTAAATTTCCAATTCTTTTTTAAGTATGTGAAGGCAGTTATTCTGTAAAACAGCTTGGAAAAATGCTCATTAAATGCAGTACTCAGTCGTATGTTTATTGAAACTAAGTAGTGAATTTAGTATAAAATACTGTTGAATTTGTATTTGATGCACTAAAATATCTGATTTAAATGTAAGTTACGACAATAGATGGCCATGAAGACTACTTCTGAAATTAAAATCGCTTAATAAAGGCAAAAATGAACGTTGTTCATATGAAAAATGAATTACCCTTCATCATCATCTGATGGTTACGTGCTGAAGACTAAAATATATAAAAAGGTTGTGCGAGATAGAAGTAAAGATGTTTTATTAAGTTATTTATTTTACCTGGTACCTTGGTGTGAACTATAAGTATGATTTTAAAGATCCTGAAAGAAATAAGAAAAGTTTATCGGACACGTAATCAGATTCTGAAGAAGATAGGTAAGTTTAATTTGAATTATTTGAGGATATTATTTTTATGCATTGTTCTAAATGTAAGGGGAGTAAAGTATTTGCGTAAACGTGCATGAAATAATTTAAATATTTGACACTAAGATTTGTACCATTTGTATGAAGTAAAGGTAATTAGTTTAGTGACGTTTGTATATATAGATAATGTAGAGGTAAAGTTTTTGGATATTTTATTTATTTATACGGGGAAATGTTCATATTTGGAAAGGGTATGGGTTGATCTTTACATTATGGTAACTTGGCGTTTTTTTGGCGAAAATTTGCCGACCCTCTCCTACAGCACCCTCTGTTTTTTTTTTTTTTTCCCGCCGCCATTTTGTCTTCTTAAGTAAAGAATGTTTCTTTTCTTTTTATCTACTGAACCTTCTTTCCAACAATCTACTAGCCGAATTCACTTATGCAAAATTTATCTAACAAAACTGCTTATCATGACAATTTCACTGCAAATTGAAAAAGTGCACAATACCAACTCCTTACGCGTTTTTCAAATCACATACACATAAACCTGTACGGCCAACTTATTTTTACTTAAAAAAACATCCCAGAATTACACAAAAATGGCATTGCCGCACACTCTTCACTATATCCTTACACTGCTTTTTTCTCATAATTAGAAAAATTCACGAAAATGCATACATTTTCTGAATCTTTAAAACCCGTAAAAAGAACATATATAATTACCTGATCACAAAGTACATACCCTGGTTAATCTTTGGATATGTAACTTGGCGATTTTGGCAAAAGTTTGTGACCAACCCGCTACGCAACCTGCTAGTTTTGTTTTCACAAGTAAGGCTGTTTTTTTTTTTACTCAACATTTTTTTTCCAACATCTGCTAGCCGAATTATCTTTTCAGAACTTTATGGAACAAAAGTGCTTAATCGGTGAAGATTAGGTACGAATTGGGAGAAAGTGCAAATCCGCCCACTGCTTGCCACGTTTTTAAGAACTGCACATACTGGTATCCATGTACACGTCGACCTATTTTCATAAAAAAAATCCCAGAATTTCAAAAATGGCATTGCCACACTCTTGACTTTATCCATGTACCTGCTAAAGTCCTGTTAGTAACCTTTATCACCTTACCAAAATGTCGCAAAACTACCTGTACCAATCAAAGATTAGCCCTATTTAATTTTAATCCTTTTGATTTTAAATCCTTTTTTGATACCTATGGTTTAACAATTTGGAATGCCCTAATGAAATTGATAGATTTTGGTAGTGCAGAATCACTCCCCGCTTGACGCATTTTAAGAATGGCACATACTCGGTATCCCTGTGCACATCAACTTATTTTCATTTAAAATAAATCCCAGAATTGCACAAAATGGCACTTCACACCCCCGTGACTTATCTATGTACCTCGACCTATTGCATTTAAAAAGTAAATAAATTGACAAATCCAATTGTTTTTACCCTTGTAAAAGCTCAAACAATAAGTGAGCGATTCTGCACTTTACCGAGATATTTTCAAGAAAAGCTCATTCATTATAGAAAATTACTTTTAAAAAACCACGGTGAATGATGCTTAGTGTTTGGTAGCGAAAAGCGTGCAGGCATCCATTCATTTGGTTTAGCAATTTTAATAAATTATGTATGATCGAATTTTTTACTCTGCTTCCATTCAGTCATTTTAGCCTTTTCATTAAATTAAATAATAAAAAAATATTATATCAAATTAACCTTCATCTAAGTTAAAACAATCAATCTTAAATGTTATTTACTATTATACTTCCTTCTGCCGCATTATTTTTGGCAGCATTGCATCAACAATGTTTTGCGATTTTTTACAAGCCCTCGAACCATAGACCATAAGCTTCAACCATATGCTATCTATTTATTTCTTGAATGGGAATTAGTATTATGTAAAAAATGTAAAAGTTAATAATTGATAGGAAAAATGAATTTTTGTTTCTGTTTATCCTTAAGATGACATCTGATTTTCTTGGGGGTGTACATCTGCTTTCCCTAATCCTTAGACATATGTAAAAAAAACAAAAAAAAGAAAAGAAAAGAAAAAGAAAAGAAAGAAAAAGGGGAAAAAAAAAAAGTTGTTGAGAAATTGCAATGTACTTTAGCTATGTAATTTTGTACACTTTTTTTTTTAAATTTATATTAACTTATTCATTGCTATTGTGGTATGCACATTGGCTATTCCTCAGGGTAAAGATGGGGGGGGAAGCTTGGAAAAATTGTATTTATTTTACTTTTAACAATAAAATGATAAAATGAGTGTATTGCATCTGAAAACAAGTCTTGTTTGCATGTATTAGAATTTTTCATAGCTGGGCACTACACATAATACAGTACAAAGTCTTTAATACGGACGTCCATAATCCAGAATGATCTATGATCTGGACCTCAAAGCTACAAACTTTATGCGCATGCGTAAATGCATACGCATGCACATAATATGTTTACGTATGCACGTTTAATGCACGCATCTGCTACGAATGTGCATAAAGAGAAGAGAGACTGTTTATAGAAGAGAGAATTAAAGAGAAAGTATTAGCACAAAAAAAAAACGAAGCAACTTAAACAGCTTACATTGAAGTAAATTTTAATAAATAAACAAAAATATTAAGCGATTTTTCCTAAATTTTAACCATTTAGATCATATTGCTCTTTATTCGAATTATGTTTCTATTTTTAATTTCTGCATGCCATTTTACCAGATTTAAATTGATAATCTATAATCCAGAATCGCCAAAGTTCCGACGAGTCCGGATTACCGACTTTGTACTGTATAGGTCAGAAGTGGGGAATGTACTGCCGTGAGTTTCTTGGGCAACCTCTAGCTCTTGTATTGATAGTATCTTGTATTGATCATGTATTAATTAATATTGTTATAATCTGTATTTTACGGTGCCCCTTGGCTTATCACCAAGTTGTTTCATTTATCTGTAAGTTGTTGTTTGATTTGTAGTAAGAGTAGTTGAATGTTATGGAAACCCTATTATGACGTGATTGTGGTGACTTTGACTGATGGGAAACTATTTGTAAGTGCTTATTTCTGCATTGGATGTCAGTTAGGAAGTACGTTGCTTATTTTGTGCTTTAGACTGTAAAATGGCTGCATGTGATGAGCTTAATCTGAAGTTTCTGTACGATTTGGAATGGAAGGATAAAAAAGCATTAATTGACTGGTGTGTAAATGAAGGCTTACTTAGTAGTCATTATAAGTGCCCTGTTTGTATGAAGGAAATATGTATGGTCGAATGTTAAGATATTCAGATGGCTTTGAATGGGTTTGTCGCAAGAAAGGTTCATGAAAGAAATGCCACCGACAGTCCGGCACTACAGAGGATATTTTTTTATTCTTACTTTTTTAAATTTATGTGGTGACAGCAGTATGCATATTCTAGTTCAGATAATTGTAGAAAGTTTTTGGATTTTATTAAGGAATTTTGTGTGCTACGGACTGAAGACACAGAAATTTCTAAATATGATATTTCCTTCTTATAGTGCATATATGCAATAACATGCATTTCCTTTTTTATGATATTTCAGTGTGCGATTTTAAATGCAATGTATCGAGCTTTGATTGGCTGCAAATTTTGTTGATGAGTAACTTTATTGTAACATTACATTTTGTCATTATTATTATTATTATTATTATTTAAGTGAAAATAGATCGATGTGCATATGGACAAAGTCAAGAGCATGTGCAATTGTCTGATTTTTTTTAATAGTGATATATATCGATGTGTACATGGACATAGTTTGTAGAATTCTTTAACCTTTTATTTTATTTTTGTGTAGCGGCTATTGTGAAATTGTGCCTTTGTAGCCAATTTTCGCCATGAGGCATCCTGAAATATATTTTTACTGTGATATTTAATTATACAGATTACAACAATTTGAAAATTAATCAAATTAAATAACGTAAGCACTTGCAAAATCTGTGCAAAATAACCATTCTGCAAGACACTCTGGATAGAACTATTTTGATTGTGAACTATAATCGCGTAAATGCAATGTGTCATAAGGAATTTGGCAGGTGCTAAATTTAGAGAAAAAAATGTACAGTGTTGATGTATCGTACTACTGCAAGTTTCGCTGGCTATCACAAGACAGGTTTTGATAAAAGTTTTAACT